CAGTTTCCACCAAGTAGTCATTTGTGTTATCAAGAACTTCATGTGGCGCCCACCACTCTTCATCATCTGAGTTTTCCTTATCTCCAAAGGGTCCTTCTTCTACAGCTCCTTGGTCATTTTTGATTTCCAAGAACTCTTCCCCCCCCACTTAGAGGTTCAGTGTCCTCAGTGAACAAGTAGAGGAACTCTTCAATGATAGCCTCCTCTTCAGCTGAGAAGCTTTCTTCTTCTAGCACAATAGCATTGCAAAACTCCTTTGGGTTAGCTTCTTTCCAGGAAACTGTCCTTGTGGCTTGGGACCAGCTATGCCTTTGTTGTTCTCCAGTGTTTTGACTCTTGCAGCCAATCCATCAAACTTGTTGGTAAGCTCTACATGCACTGAATCAATTTTGTTGTGGACCTCTGCAAACTTCTTGTTCATTTCCAAGGTTGTAGTGACTTGAGTGTTGATCAATTGTTGCATGAAGGTCTTGAGGTTAGTGTCTTGAGAGCTAGAAGAAGCTTGTCCTTGTGCTTGGGCATTGAATCCTGGAGGGTTGTAGGGCGCTCTAGGCTGATAGTTGTTGTTCCTCTGCTGAAAACCTTGATTGTTGTAGGGAACAAAAGGTCTTGGGGCAGCTTGCTGTTGCTGTTGAGGGTAAACCTGATCTTGTGGGTTGGCAACATTGTTGCTCCTGTAGGACAAGTTGGGATTTGGTCTGTAGTTCCCATAGTTATTGTAGCCACCTTGGTTTCCCAAATAGTTTATCTCCTCAACTTGGCATTGCTCCTGATCATCAAGCTGACCTATGTCTCCCACAAAGTGAACCTCTTTCTTTTCCCTTAGCAACAAGTCCAGCTTCTCATGTAGAGACTTGATTTCTTTCTTGCGAGACTCTAACTCATCCTTTGCACTCCTTGGTGCTCTGTCAAACTCCTCATTTTAGTTTCCATCAGACTGAGCCAAGTTCTCTACTAACTCCAAACCTTCATCTACATCTTTTGACAGGAAGTTCCCATTGGATGTTGTGTTCAGAAGCATTCTTATCTTAGGCAAGGCTCCTCTGTAGAGAGTGGATAGCAAAGAGGCTTGTGAGAAGCCATGATGAGGGCATTGCAATGTGAAACCCTTGAATCTCTCCCAAGCTTCTCCAAAGCTTTCATTGTTCCTCTGTGCAAATCTTGAAATCTCATTCCTTATCCTAGCAGTTCTTGAAGTGGAGAAAAACTTTGCTAGAAAGACTTTCTTGCATTCATCCCATCTGGTGATACTTCCTTGGGGAAGGTTTTTCTCCCACTGATGTGCTTTGTCTCCTAGAAAAAAGGGAAACAACCTGAGCTTGAAGCCATCTTCACTTACTCCATTTATCTTTGTGAGTGAGCACAGCCTGTCAAAATTATCCAAATGATCTAGAGGATCTTCAAGTGGTAACCCATGGAATTTGCTGCTCTGAACCATTGAAATCAATCCAGACTTGATTTCAAAGTTTTTGTTTTGGACAGCTGGTGGAATGATACCTGTCCTGTTGTTGTAGGCATTTGGTGCATCACCTGCGCCAATAGGTCTAGCTGCTCTTGGAGCTTGTGCAGCACCTCTTGGTCCTTGCTCACCCTGTAAGCCTTGAACACCTTGATGTCCTTGTATACCATGAGCGCCTGCAGCTCCTGGAGGACCCTGAAATCTGATGTCATTCATGACTTGATCCTGACTATTCATACCAAGTCTTTGCAAGTGTTGCTGCCTTTCTTGCTGTCTCCTTGCTCTCTGTCCTCTATCCAGCAGATTGATGTTGTCTATGAAATCCACAAGATTGCTTGAACCTCTGGATCTCAAGTTCATATACCTGAAAGACAGAAGTGAGAGTCAAAGAGAATTAGTAACCAAAGAAAAGTAAAAGCTTGATCTTAAAGATTCTACAAACTCTAATGATTCAAACTTATTTCCCAAATGGCAACGGCGCCAAATTGATACAAGATTAGTGTGGTTCTTGTCCCAATCACCCTTGTACTAGTCAGTTGTAGTATGGGTTTTATGTCAATCCAATTGGGAAGAGTTGAAACAGAAGAGTTGAGAGTACAATCTCTAAGTCAAGCAAGCAGAGAATTGGTTTTTTTGCCTAAGAAACAGTTCTAGCAACCTAAGTGAAACAAGCAACAAAGAAAGTGAAAGCAAAAGCAAACTAAGCAGTTTTAAGCAAGAAAAACAGAGCAAAACAGAGCAAATCCGAGATTCAAATAAGAGAAAGGCAAGTTCCTAGATGTGGTTATTGACTTTGGAGAATTTCAGATATTAACTAGGCTGTTTCAAACTACATTGATCAAGCAAGCAAGCAAGCAATAGTGATTCCTAGACATAGAATTCACAATTAAGCTAGTTAGATCCAATCTCTTGGCAAATAACCTTTTGCTAAACATTCTAACAAGAACCAACTATCATTATTGCTAAAACATCAAGCAAGCAAGAGTAAACAACTCTATTCAAGTCAAAATGCTCCTCAAACAGTCAATCTCTTGAGCCAAGGCCAGCAAATCCTCTATTAAACAAGATCAGCATTTCATTAAACACTTGGTGGGCATAAGAGAAAGCTAACAACTTAGACAAGTTTGATCAAGACTAATCTAGCATGAATAACATATTAATAGAGAGAAACCCATAAATTGAAGCACTTAACAAGCCTTAATCAAGCCTTAAATTCCCCTAATCTACCACATCTAGAAACCCTAAGATAACTACTCACTCATAATCATGTTTAACACCAAATCACAAAGGAAAAGGATGCTAATCATGATTAAAAGAGAGATTACAGAAAGATTAAAGCAAATAATTAATTATATTAAACAAAGCAAAAAAATTGTCTTACAAACTTAAAGAAAATGCTCAAGAACAGTATTTTGACAAGACATGTCAAAAATCTGGAAGAAGAGGCTATTTATAGCCTAGAGAAAAAATCCCTAGAGTAATGGTAAAAGCATAATTAAAAACAGGTTCGGGCTGGGTCAGTATCGGTCAGTTGCGTCGGTCTTCAGTGAGCGAAATGGATCCCTATCGGTCTGGAGTGATCGACACATATGACCGAAATCCATCCGATGTGTTTGTGTCGATCACACTTGACCGATACTGGTGATCGATACTGCTTTGTATCGGTCATCCTTGACCGATACTCACCGTTGTTTGACCGAAAACTTCTGTTGTGATCCTTCTTGCTCCCTTTTGCCCAGCTAGCATCTTGTATCATTCCCAAAACTCCTCCAAGCTCCTTTTAGCTCCAAAAGCACCTAAAAACATCAAAAATGCAAAGAAAATGTAAAATATACTCTAAATGCAATCTAAGTCTAAAAGGAGAAGAAAGTAGGACAATAGTTAAGGGAAAACATGCAAAAGAGGACCAAAATATGTACTAAATGCAGCCCTAAATGGTGTAAATACAAGGGATATCACGGCTAACACAGAGCTGCAGGCGAGCTAAGTGACTTCTGGGCGCGTGTTTGGACTCTTAATCTTATGGGGCGCCATGAGCCTGAGGTCAGATCACGACCGCGCCAGGGATCTTGGTTCCACGGTCCCAAGGAGGAGGTGGCTGAGATTTAATTCCGTTCCACGCTCCCTCTCCTTGGCGGCTCATTTATCGGGTGCCTAATCGCTGTTGTGATCCCCCGCGTGGTGGCTCTTGTCTGCTGCGCCTCTTCCTTTATCTCATTTCCCATGTGCTCCTTTTGGCCAAACTCGGTCTCCAGGGTTTTCCCCTCTTTTTGCTTTTCGCACTCGCCGTCTGTCACAGGGACTTTGTTGTAGAAATCTTGTTGTAGCCCTTTCCCCTTGGGGGTTTATTATATAAATAAACATAATTTTTCTACTCGTTTTTTTATTTTTCCTACTCGGGAACTTTGAATTACGCCTTTAAAAGTCTTAATCGGACTTTACTCGCATTTCAAACAAACTGACTCGTTAGCCCGAGGCAGGCAACAGAAATGCTCATGGATAGCTTTTAAGAATTAACCGAACATTCGTGTATACTCTTAGCATGTTATGGTTCCGGGAGGGGGGGAGAAGATAGATATCCGACTCAACCCTCGAGATCTGTTTACCTCCGGTGCCTACTTTTTCCGTGGGAAGCATGCTGTCGGTACCTGCCTGCGCACTCTCATGGTGGTGGGGACCGCTGCTTTGATTGGTGACTGTGCGCCAGGGTGTGTGCACTCTTTGTTGGATATAGCCTCGAGTGCCGTCGAGGATTGGTTTCGCTGCATTGACTTGACCGTCAGAAAATTTATGGGAGGGAGACCTTCTTTTGGTCCGCATTGACATGATATCGTTTGTTACAGTTTGTATATCCCGACCGAGGATCATGATATCCATCTGATGTTTAGTGGATGCAGAATATAAAGGGTGAACCATGAAGAGAATGAAGTAGGAGTTCTCTCTGCACGGATATGGAGTAAAGGATAGAGACAGGATGGGTGCTTATCTCGGAATTCTTCCGGGGAACAGCGAGCATTGCTCTTCAGTCTCGCTGCAACGCAAAACTCAAGGCGATCGATTCCTATTCTGGATGAGGTCTCCTCCTTTTCGAATCCTTTTTTCCTTTGGCCTTAGACTGTCTTTTATACCCTTCTCATGCTTTATGCCCCATACATGCGGTATGCCGCGGGAGCAGATGGCCCAATACATCTACCGAACCGGTAAGCACGCCACTTGCTCGAAGATAGTCGTTAAAGAATTGATGGTATACTTAGTGGAAGAAGGTTAACTATGCTTAATGAAAGAAAGTTAATGCTCTGGTGGAGCCAAGTAAAAATATGTTTTTTCAAAATGAATAGTGATAAAAATGAGTTTAACAGTTAAAATATTTAATTTAAGCAATTTAAATATAAATAAAAAATATATATGTAATGATAATGTAATTGTGATAATGTAAAAACAAATAACAAATATGGAATAAAATCTAATATTTAAGAAAGATCTGTAGGTTGAACTCTCGGTTGACTGATTATGTTCCTTTTATATTTGAGCAAAGAAAAAAAATTAACAGACACTAATAATTTTGCCACAGAAATACATGTTAATAAATAAACAATGGTAGGCTGGTTGTAGCTACATCGAATAAGTTATTTTATATATATTCTTCAAAAATAAATAATAACAAACGATATATAAATGAATATAGAGTACGTATAGAAACATTAAAAAAACGCAAAACAAATAATCAAAGAAAAAAAATGAAACTCACTATACAAATCTCGGATGCTCCCTCCAAGTGGAACACAATATATCTTGTGAGGTTATTCAAAGCTCTACTAGTCTTCACACTAGAGCTTCTTCGGCAGATTATACGTCTTCTTCAGAAACCTCGTCGCAGATTCATCATTACGGTAACACAAAACTCGTAAGACAGTGTTTGGCTCCATACCATTCCACTGCCCTGAAGTCGGAGGCAAAGGAAGCCTAGATTTAGCCGAAGAACCGTATGCTTCAAGCGTCATCCCCTTGAACCTCTCTATTAAACTCTCCGTGTCTGTACTGAACAGAGGCATCACGCCTCTGACCGTGGTCGAGAACTTATCGATCAGGTCCATAGCTAGACCGTCTCCGTTAGCCCAAAACAAATTTTTCATAGACTTGAAATCTTCTTCCATAATCTGAGAGTCTTGTATCGTAAAAGCTCTAGATGGTCCTCCGGCGAGCAGGACAAGCAAGAATCCGTCGAAAGAAGCTCTCATGATATCCGTAATGATCCGCGTTCGGACTCTTTCGTGTACCGTCTCTGCTACGACTGTCAAATTCTGTTCGAGCTCTTGAAGGAAAGGCTCGATTCTAGAGGACGAGAGGTCACAGATGTATAACCCGTCCCATAACGCGTGGCTTAAGTCATGGAAGACGACTTTGTAAGCTAGAGACTCAGACAGCTGTTGAACACCTTCAATGCAAGCAGCTGGTGTGAGCTCAAACTTTTTCCCTAAGCCGTTTGAGAAGTCGTCGGTGTGAGCGGACTCACAGTTTCTCAAATGTGTTATCACTCTCTTCTCCACAGCATCGAGCTCGCTGCGGATTTTGTGCAAGCTGTTTATCCTGACACATATCTGCGTTACACCAAATGAATTCTCCCCGTTGGCAATCAAAACCTGAGAGTTTCTCTTCTGAGAAGGAACTGCCTTTTCTTTCTTCTTCCATACACCTTGGAACTTTGATTCCGTTGTACATCGGGTTAGTGCAGGCATTGTTGGCATGTATGTAGTTCGAGAGCCTGAGAAATCATCAACATAAGATAGTATATATATAAGATGTGAGAAATCAAGAGTTCAAGTAGAAACATATTGTTGTTTCAAAACTTACCGCAACCAGATTTCGCTTTTGAGACATAATACTGAAGATATTTGTCAACACCAATGATTAAATCAGGTAATACAGCAGGATGCATTGGTATGGGAAGCTGAAAAAACGCTTCTAAAGTTTCATCAGTAATCCTCAATACTTCGGCAGCAGATTGTGCATATCCTCCTTGGTTCTCCAGCGGATTCCAAACCTGAAAGAAATTATATGGTTTGCTTTGAGTTAACTTGGTTCAAACCAGGCATTCGGGTTCGGTTCTTTTTTGGGGTTTCGGGTAGTTCAGTTATGCCTCTTTAGGAACCTTTCTCGGTATTTATGAAAGTCAGTTCGGTTTCGGTTCAGTTACCTTTCAGTCCAGTTCGGTAATGTTGAGAAAATATCCGAACATTTAGCGGATCCAGTTCGGTTTAATTATTTTGTAAACCAAACTACCCGAATTACTCAAAATTTATTCAAAATAGCCTAAGAACAAAAAAACATATTTAATATCAACAAAATTTAGCTCAATTTTAATTTTGACAAATATAAGAATATTATTATTTCGGTACTTTGGTTAGTTCGGCTATATTATTGTAAATTTTGATACTTTTGGTTAATTTAAATCTAAATATAATTGTATATTGAAAGTACTTACGGATCAGTACGGGTACGGTCTGAGTACCAAAATATTTTAAACAAGGAACCACTGGTATTTATGAATATCTCCAGTTGGGTTCGATACCTTTCAATTCAGATCGGTATGGTTTGATTTCGATTCTGGGTAATTTGCCCACTCTAGTTCAAACTTCAAACTTAACGAAGATTTCAATCACTCCTAATAAACTAAAACATAATTGACTAGATTTTCTAAATAAAGAAAAAGTTAAAAGATGACCAAAGAAGTTACTAACCTCCTGCTGCAAATTCCTGTCAACCCATTCCTTAAGTCTCTCTATCCTTGCCTTAATCCAGTCTTTGACCAAATTAGCAATAACAGTCTCCGCTTCAAAAGGAGGCATCTCACGGATAATCGCTTTGCCACCATCATCACTGTCAACAGAATCCTCTACTGCAATCTGCACCAGATCCTTTTCTAGCTTATCCGCAACTCTTAATACCTGAACCGCGTCTGGCGTCAATTCAGATATTCCCGATATAAACTGTTTAATCTCGTTTCCGTAACAAACATGAAGCGTAGCCACAGCGACTCCTGCAGCAAACGGATGCCATCTCTTCCATATCGGACTAAACATCCGTTTTTCTTGAACAGCTAACTCACCAATGTCCTCAGCGAGTATAGCAAGAACAGGAAGAGGGTTCTTCTGGTTCCTCGATGCTCTCCTGCTCGAATCTGCTTTCTCCATTCTCTACACATAGACATAAAATGATCAAATAAGTTCATACAATTGCTATAAGTAGAGAAATCGACATAATACAGATACTTACCTGAGCAAAAGCAGTTCGTAGTGATGACCTGATGTATGTCTCGATCCTAGTACGAGCTACATCGACTTCTCCTTTCCTTCTTCTACGATACTCGTTAGATATATCTTCAACCAAGATCCTAGCTGCTGATACACCTAAAGAAACAATTCCTTCCATAGTACCAACATTACTTCGATTAAAGGTGTCGTGGTATGCGAGTAGTCTCTTCTCAGCCCAGCCTAATATAGCACTAAGCGTAGCACTTAACACTTGAGAGTATTCAGGATCCTTTGTTGTCTTTGCATCTTTAGCAACTTCTGCTAGAGAAGCATCACAAGCGTGAAGTAGGTCCATATCTACTTGTCCGGTTACAACGTAGCGAGAGAACAAAAGCCAAGTGAAACAGAGGTTATGAAGCACTTGGTTGATTCCAAGAATCACCCAAGTCTTCTTGATATGTTCCATAAGGTCGTCGACTTCCTCAACCATTGATGACTCGTCGTTGGAATCGAAGCACGCTTCTAGAAGCAGTTCGTAGAGCCTGAGATTAAACGGAGAGCCATCAGCCCAGTGGCAAGAGTCAGAGAAAGAGCCATCGGATCTAGTGGCGAGAGACATGACCGCGGATCGAAGGCTCTGCATCTGCTCGTTGTTCCTTCCGGTCTCCAAAGGCCGGTCTAATGCGCCATGAATGATCTGTCGCAGTCGATGAGAAGAATTCGTCTTGTCCAGTGGTACACGAGGGTGCAAGAGAAGACCTGCCTCAAGAACCTTCAACGATCTCTTGAGCCACGCATCGTATTCTTGTTGATCAGTGAAATCAGAAGACTTTAGCTGTTGTAACAATTCTAAAGGAAGAACCACTGACTCAATCTTCCGTCCAACCTAAAAACAGAAATCAATCAAATGAATTTAAAAGCCAAGAACTTTGGCAGCAATTGATCATTTTTATCCAGAATCATATGGAATTTAAACAATTCAAGATCTTTGAGTAATTTAAAAAGTCATACACCAGATAAGTTAATGGCATCTATATCACAAGATCATGAATTTTTAACTCATATTCAACTAAAATCAAGCTCGAGATTTACTCTGGCCACGGAATGAATTAAAGTCAACAACTTTTAAAGCCATTAACACTCTATTAAAGGAAAAATTCACAACACACTTTCTTATCAAGAATCCTACCGAATTTAATCAGACTCAAGATCAACAACTATTAAAAAATAGTCATACCACATGATCATGAATTGAAACACATATTCAACTAAAATCAAGCTGGAGATCCCTCCAATGGTGTCAAGTAAGAAGCCAAAATTCAGCTAAATTGGATCACAATTACCGAAAAAGTCATACCAGAAGATCATAAATTGAACTCATATTCAACTAAAATCAAGCTCGAGATTCACTGTAAATCAATTGAACACATCTAAAATTAAGCTCGAGATCCCACCATGGGGTAAAGTAAGAAGCCGAAATTCAGCTAAATTGGATCACAGAGATCCAGCGAGAAGGAAAAATTGAGCTAACCTGACTAGCAGCGATCCTAAGGAAAGCTCTACGAACGCGAGAATCGACGGTCTCCGATACTCGCATTTGGATCCGCATGAGCTCGCCGACAGTAGTGGGACGCTTCGACTTACCACCCGAACCAGAACCCGAACCAGGACCCGAGCCAGGGCTCTTCGTAGATCCAGGTGATAACGAGGACAACGACTTCATCCCCAAGGCCTTCTTCATCTTACTTGCTGCGGCTGCGGTGAGGGAACGCTGGATTGCCGGAGAAGCAGGAGAGCCGCCCTTGATCGGAGAGTCTGGATTAGGAACGGCGACTGATGAAACAGCAGATGAGAGAGGTTTCCCGGTGGCGCTACGGCATGCGGCGACGAAGATCTCGTAGGCAGTGAAACGGAGATCGGATTCGGGAAGCTGGACGGCGAGTTGTCCGAGAGGTGATGGAGGTAAATCGGAAGGTATAACGGAAGCCATTGAAGACGACCGTGAAGTCGCCGGCGGCGGTGTCGTTGTCTCTCTCTTGGAGTGACCCAGAGACAGCTCTCTGAAGAGATGAGCCATTTTGCAGCGAAAAAGAACCAAAAAAATACAGCTTTTAAAACAGTTACCAAAAAAGAAGAAGAAAATGGCATTATAGTAACTAGGGATGACGCGCGGACTGTTTTTAAATAGATATTTAATTATTATTTAAGTTTTATTATTTTCATTTTAAGTTAATATTTTAAATATAATATTTAATTTTTAAAAAAATTTTGATATGATTATACATCGAAAATATTTTAACATATTCAAAAAATGTATAATTTTAAGAATTAGCTACTTGATATGCTAAAATTAACAGTTAATCTAAAACTTAATATTTGTATATAAACTCACTGTTATTCACTACTAACTTTTAGAATATTATTAAAATTATTTTTGTTTTGACTAAATTTGATTATTATTGTTTTAATTAATTTAGATTTTTATTTTTATTTTAACTGTGTTCGTGTAGTGTTTTTATTTAATTAGCAATCTCAAATACAAACAACACTCAATGTTCTAATCTCTTATAAATCTATAAAATAACTATGATTCATATAAATAAAAACAATATTTACATAGTATAAAAAATCACAATCATATAGATAAAATGCAATTTTGATTTGGTCTATGAAATATACGTAAACTATAAAAAAAATATAGATGAATAAGGCAAATAATATATATACAAATACAATTTCATACTAACTCATTATGTTAAATAAAGTATGTTGAGTTTCTCAAAACTCAAAAGATGTAAAACATTTTGCTTGTAATTTAACTTAAACATTTTTTCTTAAACTACATATATATATTTTGATGAACCTTTATAATTAAACTAATAATATATATTATATTATTTTTAAAGGAGTTTCTTAACCCAATAAAAAAACCATATTAGTTTTCATTCAAGTTGGGTTTATAAAAAATTTTGTTGATGTGGATAATTAAAGATTTTTTTAAACATTTTTTTCTACATTAAAATGTGTATGTTATTTTTTTCAAAAATGCATAATTATTTAATTTAAGAATTTATTAACTTGATATATATAAAAATTAACTGTCATTTAAAACTTAATTTTTGTTTATAAACTGTTTAACTCATGTGTTGATATGTATCGCTTGTAGTAACTTGACTACCTTAAACCAACTAAGACACATATTGAATAAATATCAGTGCATGAAATTCTTCTTCTGTCTATCATTTTCTGCAATGTAAATAGTAACAATGATCGAAATCTTCATATAGATAGATGCTTTGAAAAGCTTCCTATAATTTATGTTGTCTTGTTGGTTGCCATAAATCTAACGTACTATGATGATTAATCTGTATATTTCTAAAAGGTGAATATTTTAGATTTTTATAATTTACAAATGTTTTAAATTTTATTTTAGAAATTATTATTTTGTAATCTTGTTTCTATTAACTATTATTTAAGTTTTTTAGAACAATTTGTTGTCCAATATATTTACTATATTACAAAAAGGAGTATATATTAATGCTACAGATTTAAATGATATTTATTTTACTGATTTAGAAAATAATATTTAGTTTTATTTATTTATTCCTAATAATTATATTAACTTAGTAGTTCTATTTATTTATTTTATGTGTATTTCAAAAGATATAAAGTAAATTTTTTTATTATTGTTATATTACAAACAAAAAAAGTATATATTGATGCTATAAATTTAAATGATGTTTATTTTACTGATTCAAAAAATGATATTTTAATTTTATTTATTTTTGTTGGTAACTATATTAATTTTAGTGACAAAAATGAGTATATATTAATGCTACAGATTTAAATGATATTTATTTTACTGATTAAAATGATATATAGTTTTATTTAGTTTTTGCTAATAACTATATTAATTTAATGATTTTATTTATTTATTTCATGTGTATTTCAAAAAATTTAAAGTGAGAATTTTCATTATTGTTAATTTGTTATATTACAAACAAAAGAGTATATATTGATGCTATAGATTTAAATAATATTTATTTTACAGATTTAAAAAATAATAATTTATTTTTATTTACTCTTGTATTTAATTATATTAATTTTGGTTCTATTTATTTATTTTATGTGTATTCTAAAAAAATCTAAAGTGGAAATTTGTATTATTATTTTTTGCTGATGTATCATACTTTTAGAGTAGTTTGAAAAACTGAAGTGGATAGCTTAAGGAGCTCCAAATAGTTCCTTTTATTTAGTATATATTTTCGTTTAATTATGACCTTTCGTGTCATTATATAATTATTATTAAGGAATTTCAATGCGTTATTTACTGGAATTTACCATCTATGAATAGAGTTTATCGATAAAGTCAGAAATTTGTTTCCAGCTGTAACATATCTTTCTCTAATGATTTTCTCTACATAAACAAAAAAAATCGTAGTAATGATTGTGAAAATAGGTAAAAGAAATTATTTAGTTACTTTTTACTGTTGTAATAATTGGTAGTAAAAATGAAGATACATTATTGTTGCATTATTGATATGTTCTATTTGATTAAGTTAAAACTCATGTAGCTTTTATTTTTATTTTTAGTCTCAATTTCATTTAAATCCATAAAGAATAAAGTAGTAAAAAAGATATAATATCTCAAAAGGCCCAAGACATAATAAACCTAATAAACCCAATAGTCTTGACTCAACACGTGTATGGACACATGTAACCTAAACCCTAAAGGAAATACACGTGTAACAAAAGTATGAGATGTGCAGCGCCGCTTCACACTTACCGGAAATAACCACCGGCGAACTCTAGCTCCGTAGCAAACAAACCGCTGCAAGAGATCACTGCTTCTTCCTTTTGTATCTGACCGCCGGGATAGCATGAGAAAGCTCAGCTTGCCATCAATTGTAATCACTAGGAGAGGCTGGAGAATTAGCAACAGAAATTTTATCGGACTGCTACAAAGAACGCCGACTCTTCTTGCTCTGCACTACTTCCGCCGAAAGAAATCCCATAAGCTCGATTCAAGCCTATGGAAAGACTTCGTCGCATATACAAGATAGCGAAGGCCATAAGAAGATCGAGTATAACTTATGACAAAAGAGACTTGTCTACCACCATCACCGGAAAAGATACTTTTAATAAAAGCATCGATGAACTCATGCAAAAGGGAAAACAACTACAAAAGTCTGATATACTGAAGAAAATTCATCCGATAAACGGAAAAAATATTTATAGAAGAGCCACACAAAGCCGAAAAATTGATTCTCTCTCTGAAAGATATTAGAGAGAGAAAACTCATGTAGCTAAAAGCCTATAACGATAAATAAATAAATAGTTTCGATAAAAAAAGAATAAATAAATAGATTCGATTATAGTAAAAATAAGATACATAATTGAACGATTAATATAATATTTTTTTTAAGTGTAAAAGGAGAGGTGGAGCATAGAGCCGAACAGCTTGGAGACGGTCTCACGCTCATGTCCATGTCTCATCCTTTTTTCGTGGTCAAATTGGACCACATATATATACATTTTTTTCCAACTTTTTTCATTACTTAACGAAACCATTAATTTACACACATATTAAACCTTTTCAAAGTCTTGTAAATATGTTTAGAGAGAGATTTAGGATACTAAGTAGTTATGAGAGAGAGATTAAAGGCCGCATCAAATCTTTTCAAAAATTCGTTCACTTCTTTAATTCACCAAGTTTTTACTCTACTGTTTTGGTTCTTTCGCGAGCCAGCAGAATATGTTTTCAACAAAATTGGCTCATTAAATTGTTTTCAAACAATTCTCTTGTGAAAAATGACTTTTTAGATTTAAAAATGAGTTTTAGTGAATAGTAATTTGTTATGGGTCAATTCGGATTAATTGAGTTTTGACCGAGTCTGGATCTAGATCTAGTTTGTCATGGCCTGATCTGTCTGCACTCCTTGTCCACTGGTTTATCAGCCGTGGTCTGGCCATCAGTGCTGCCCTAAAGCTCAGATCACGCCAAGCTTATCCTGTCTGTGTTCGTGGTCATTGGCTGCAGTCTAGCAGTCTGCATCGGTGCCCGTGTTGGTACCAGACTGCTATGCTCTTTTCAGGTTTTGCTCCCTTAATCATTTATAGACTACTTCAAATCTCCAAAGCCTCGAAATAATATGAGGAACACTCCAAATACAACACAATATGGAAAATATATGCTAATATGATCTGAAGTCTAAAATAGATGGAAACAAGCCTAAATGCACTTATCAAACAAGTCAAAACTAATTTAAATAAATGCTAAAACCATGCAAAATAATGCAACTATCAACTCTTTCAAACTTGCATTTTCTTTGCCCTCAAGCAAACATATAAGAACAAGAAAGAGAAAAAGTTTCAAAGTGAGAGCTCAAATCCCAAAAATGCAAATAAAAGAAATCAAACAATTGTCCAAGTTAACAATTCTAGGATGCATATTGAGTTTGTTTATATTCAAAAATGTTAGCCACATTCATCACAACATGAAATGAATTTTCGAGTCTAGCCTAAATAAGCATTCTTATCCTCTATTTCTTTAACATTCATTTAATTTGTAACCATGGAACATGCTTTGAAATGTCAAGAGAACTCACTTGGTTAAGGGACAAGGCTTTGAGATAAAAATGTTCTCAATGTATGGATTTATTTTAGGTGCAAAAGGGATCTTTCACGAATATGAATCAATCTATGGCAAAATACTAAGAGTAAAAACCAATTGATGCATACAAGGATGACTTCCATCTACTCAAATACCAAAACTGAGTTATATTCCTAGATTACTCACAAAGATTAAACAACTAAGCTACCTTTTTTTCCAATGCTTTCTTGCTTCTTAAATCACACAATGTCATCATTTTTTGTTAGTCTTAGGAAATTTTTCTTCTCCTTGGTGTTGAGTGAATTAGCTTTTTTAATTTCTTCTTACTTAGCTTTTCTTTTGTTATTGTGGTGCCTCCTTTGGATCATCATTTTGATGCTTCTTATTTTACCTTTGGCTTTTGCACTTGGAAACCACTTTTTTTTTCTTTTGAAACTTAAAACCTCTTTTGTTGCCAATCAGGGACAAGGGGGTGGGGCCAGCTAAAACAAGCAAGGAAAAAGGTGCTTTCGTCCAGCCTCGGCGCAGTTTGCCCTTTCGCGGCCTTGTCCGCGCTCCCAGCCGCGGTGTTTCCAGCCTGTGGTCGTGGGTCCGCACCAATCCTAGGGTTTTTAAGCCTTGGGTGGTCGTGGTCTACCATGTCTACGCCCTTGGTCACGCACGTGGGCGCGGTTTGCCAGCCTGGTCGTGCCACCTTTGAAAGCTTATGCAAACTTTCTTTCCTTAAGTATAGCCCCTTAATTTCAAACCTGATCACTTTAGACACTTAAAAACAAATTAATAGTAACATAAAGCAATAGTATATATTAGGATAAGCATGAGAATGCTTTTTAAGTGCGTTTTAGAGACACTAAGTTTAAACTTTCAAATCCTTTTAGGCATTGGGATGCGCATGGAGTGGAACAGAAGTCCCTTCTCCATCAGTATCACTAGCCTCCTTCGGGGGTTGAATGGTTCTCAGTGAATCAAAGCTTGTCCCTTTGGTGATGTTTAGAGACTCCCTTGTTCTTCACCTTGTATTTGATTGTGCCATCAATGAACCTTAAAGGACAAAGACACACAGTTGTAAAGTCTGAAGCATTGATAGGAATGTTCTTCTTAGACTCTTTTATGGCCCTTTTTGGTATCTCCACTTTTCGCTCATCCTTTTAGGGTCTTCAAACAAGTAGACACTCACCACCAAATCCTTCTCCATCACAGTCACAAGTGTAGAGAGCATCTTCTTGAGTTGTGCTCACATTCTTAACCTCCATTGGTTAACCATTTAATTTCGTTGATTCCTTTTTAGCTATCATATTTTCTCAAGTTGTTGTTCCACAAAAACTCATGGTAGAAGACTTGATAGGGTAGAAGATCTTATCATTCACATTATTGAATACCACCCTCTTCATTGTGAAGTATATACTTGCATCTGCTGTATTGAGGAATGGGATCCTAAGAAGGAGTGAGAGATTGTTGGTTTGCTTCATCTCTAGTACAATAAAATCAGTAGGGATCACACACTCCATAATCTTCAAAGGGTAGTTTTCAATGAGGCAAAGTGGCTGTCTTAAGAAGTATTCAAAAAAGCGATTGGTGTAAGATACTTTTTCATGCTCTTTATCCCTAAGCTCTCAGCCATCTCAAGGGACATAGCATTCACTGTTGCACCTGAATCACACAAGCCACAAGGTTTCATCTATCTATAAGTGCCCTAGAGAACAAGAAATCAAACTTTTCCAGGATTCCCAAGCTTTGGAATGAACTTAGACTCATCTCTTGGGGTGCTTGATGGGTTAAAGATTTCCACAAGCTCTTCTACCTTCTCTCTATTAGAAAGCATACCCTTGATGAACAGTTATTATTTCTTGACTTGATACCAATTATCAATCATAGGCAATTGTGAACCAGCCTTTTCATCATTTCCTTGAAACTTGAAAGCAGTTTCTTTTGTGCATTAGTAAGAATTCGCCTTGGGTATGAAAGTGGTAGCTTGTAGACAGAATCATTGTGAGACGCTTCTTCAATGTGAGGCAAAGTTGCCACCATATCTCCCTTCTTAGCTCTTTCCTTGAGAGACTACTCAACTCTTACTTGTGTAAAAATCAAGGACTCATCAACCACTCTATTACCTTTTTCCTTATCAATAACCATGGTGTCATTTTCAATGGTTCTCTCCCCTTACTGGTTCTCAATGTCCTCATTGACTATTGGTACAATCTTTTTAGTGTGAAACACTTCCACCTTTGTACCATAGAGTAGTTGTTCAATCTCCCTTACATTAGCTTCATGGTCACTAGGGGAGCTACCATCATATGATAATATGGCATTGCAATACTCCTTTGGGTTGACTTGGGCTTTACCATTGGATTGAGGGTTTGAGGAGGAAAAGACTTCTTTGGATTCCACTAGTTTAACCATTTGGCTCAAAGAGTCAATCTTTGGCATTCCACTCATTATTGTAGCAATAAACCTTGTTGTAGAGTTCAGCCATCTTCTTATTTACATCCATTGCACTATTATTAATTTGGCAATATAAGAGTTGTTGAAGCGTGCTTTTAACTTCAGGATCTTGATCACCTTACCCAATAAAGTTGACTTGTTTTTGTTGCCCTTGAAGTAGCTTATCAACCTTATCATTGAGGGACTTGATCTCTTTCCTTGTCCTCTCATCAGATCCGCCCCCTCTTAAGCTTTTATCATAACTTTCACCATAATCGCTATCACTTTAGGCAAGGTTCCCTACCAACTATAGCCCTCATAAACATCCTTGCCTAGGAAGTTTCCATTACTTGCAGTATCAAGAATCATCCTTATCTTTGGTAGAACTCCTCTATAGATAGTGTGGAGTAATAATTCATTGGAGAAGCCATAGTTTGGGCATTGCATAGTGTAGCCCTTGTTCATTGTTCATTTGAGTGAAGCTAGAGATCTTATTCCTCAAATTGAATTTTCTTGTGTTAGAGAGAACTTTGCCAAAAATGCTTTCTCGCATTGATCCCAAGATGTGATGGAACCTTGTGGTAGTGTCTTTTCCCATAGGTGAGCTTTGTCTCCAAGAGAGAATGGAAACAACCTCAGCTTAAACTCATCTTAAGAGACTCCATTTATCTTAGTCATGCTGAAAATTCTATCAAATTCATCCAAATGATCTAAAGGATCTTCCATTGGCAAACCATGAAACTTGTTGCCTTGCACCATTGATATCAGCCCACTCTTGATCTCAAAGGTGTTGCTCTCAACTAGAGGAGGGAGTATACCTTGGAAATTTTCATGGGTATTGAGAGGATCTCCAGCCCTAATATGCCTTGTCTTTGTTGATGTTGAGGTCCTCTAGCTTGAGCCTTATTTCATTGAGCATCTTGTGGAAGGTCTCCACTTTGAGCATTTTGATTTTCCATTCCCAATCAAACAATGTATTCAGCTCTTTCTCTTTCTCTTCTTGCTCTTCACTCCTCTATCCAAAATATGGATGTTGTCAATTGGTGGAAGAAGGTTGTCTCTACCTCATAATCTCGAAAGCATACACCTTCAAGAGAAAAGCAAGAAAATGAAAGAGAGTTAGTAAAATAGTAAAAATAGAAGCTTGATCTCAAAAACAATAAAAATCTCAATGCACAAATGCAATCCCAAATGGAAACATTGCCAAATGATAGTAAGTTTTGCTACTAAGCAGTTAATCTAATCTACTCATATCATTGTAGTATTTTGAGATGTCAATCCATTGGTATAGTTGTGACACCAATAATGCATTAAATTCTTAATCCAAATAATGTAAAATATGATTTGTGCTTCTAGCAACCTAACAAACAAGAAAACAAGACTAGCATCAAGTAAACTCAAACACTTAAGCAAATAAAATCATTCAAAGCAAGAACAAAAAAATACTTAAACAAGATGATCAAATAAGGTAAACAGGTCTAATGGTGGGGTTCTTGAGTTTGGGTGATCATATAAATAATCTAAGATGTTCAAATAATGATAATAATGTTAATCTTTAGGTATAGAATTCTTAAACAAGACTAATCCACTTTAATGACACTAATCACTTTAATCAAGATCTAATCATCATTAGTAAAAAAATAATGAACAAGCATGAATCTGAGTTCTATAAAGCCAAAAAACACCCTAAATATTTATTATAATTAGCTAGAAATATAACTCTCTTGACTTAGTTGGTTGGAGCATGTTATCAAACACATATGGTGGGTGGGAAATGCCCTAAATACTAAATCAATATTATCAAAGCAAATATAGCATTAAAAACACTAAGCAATAAATGATCTATTATATTTAAGTTCTAAACATCAAAAATCTACTCTAATCTCATCATAATCTAACCATCCGCAAACCAATAAGAAAAATACTCACTAATCATGTTAAAATCCACAAATCTAATGGAAGAAATATGAATAAACATGATTAGAAATAAGAAAAATAAAAGATTATATAACTAAATATTTAGAATTGCATAAACTCTTAAGGATTTCTTACAAAATGTGTTTTAGAATTCAAAGAAAAAACTTTCTTAAGGAAGAACAAGGTATAGAGATAAAAAATAAGATAAGACATAAAAATTAGGTCTTCGGTTTAAATAGTGAACATTAATTCATCCCGGGTCATCCCGGATTAGTTAGGATTTGAGCGAGTCATGGTTTGGGTCTGGTCTAGCGCGGCCTGGTCTACTTGTGCTCCCTGTCTGCGCTAAGCCATTGTTTTATAGTCCGCAGTCTGGCCACCCACACAACCCTACAACTGATATCACATCCTTGGTCGGGGATTGTCCTGTCCACGGTAGTGGTCCACGCCAAGTCCCCAGTTTTCAATCACCTTGGCTGCGACATATCTTGTATGCAGTGTCCTAAAGCTTAGCCCGTGGTCATTGGCTGCGATCTAGCAGTCCGTGCTGGTACCCGTGCTGGTGCCAGACATCATCTATTATGCATTTTACTGTTCCTCTCCTTTGCTTTCTTACTCTCTTGATCACACATAGACTCTCTTGAGTCTCAAAAACCTCCAAATAACTTAAGGAACACTCCAAATACAGCAAAAACCTATCCTAATATGATCAAAAGTCTAAAATAGAAGCAAATAAGCCTAAAATACACAAATGCACTTATGAAACAAAACAAAAAATAACTTAAATAAATGCTAAAATCATGCAAAAAATATAACTATCAACCCACATCAAGGTTTTTGTGCCCGGGCCTACTATCAGAAACACTAAACATAGTTACAGATTTTTTTTAGCTATGAACAAAATTTTGTAGCAAATTTTGTTTTTGCTACAATATGTTACAAAACAAAATTAGTAACTGTGATTGTAGCAAATATGATGTTGTCGTAATTTGTAACAAAATTGCTACAAATTAGTAACAAACAAAAACTGTAACAATTTACTTCAAATTTGTTACATTCATTTCGGTAATTAATTAGCTACAATGTAGTTATAGTATAAATAGTGGCAATTTATTACAATTTCCCACAAAATTTTTGTACCCAATATTGAAGACTAGCCACAAATCTATCTGTAGCTAATCGGTAGTATTTTCTTAAAAAAAATACAAAAAAAATTATTATAAAATCTCTAATACATTATTAAAAAGTGAAAACAGAGGAATCGATTATATAAAACTAATATATAACAAATATAACAAATCACTATAGATATCCAGGTCTCTAACCACCTTATTTCTAAAATTTTAATCACCTAATTACTATAGTAATAATATTCTAATTTCTAAAGTACTAACAACCTAATTTCTATGGTATGTATAACAAAACATCTAACTTGTAAATATTAAGAGAAAACCAACTTAGAAATAAGATGTTCCCTCCCCTTTCTATCTCCACCGGTTTCCAAATGCTTACACCTCTGGAGAAACAAAAAATAACAATGTAAGAAAACAACCAAGTTACAAATCACTCTCTCAAGTTACAGTTGATGCAAAAAAAGAAAACTACCAAGTTTCACCTTGATCGAATGGTCAGACGTGTGCTTGCAGCTTTGGCATTGAAGCTTCATCCTCTTCATGTTCCAAGACTGTTCAAAAGATTACAAGAAATGCATCTTAGCCACACAAGAAAAAATAAGATTTTATTGGAAGTTTCTTCTGTATCTCTCATGTTTCAATTTCAAAAGTCTAATATAAAACACTGAAATTTAGATTCTCAACAAAAGTATTCCAATGATTTTGATCTGCAGGAGTAAGTTTAGAAGCAAAGATCAGCTCAGTCTTAACACTACAAGATAATTGGTTCCTTACATTGATTATAAATAACCAAAACTTTGCACACTTAACCTAACTGAACTTAATTCAAATACAACACATCTATAACTATAAGTGTTTATTATTTACTTTCTATATGTCGAATCCCAATTGTATTCTTTCTGCCAAGAAAACAGTTAGTGTAAAATAAACAAATAGAGACTCATAAGATCAAAACTATGTAATAACAACACTATTAAACCATAAAGCATATATCAAGACAAGTTAAACCAACATCAATCCCAATATGTGAAACTAATTATGAGAAAACTATAATTACTGGAAATCATTGTACGTACACACACGATAATTTGACTTACCCAAAGCTTGAATTGGCGGCAAAAGAAACACAAAGGCGGAAGCTAAACCAACCAGAGGCAGCGAGAGCAACCTGTCGAGATTGACACCGGCCACAACTAAATAGAGACAAACCGCAAGCAACAAAACCACACCTTCGAGCCCAGAAGGAGAGAAGACTATGGCACAAAACCGGAGCGCAGCAACCTGGGAAAACAAACCCGAGAGCAGACGAATGATGGAAGGCCTGAGAAGAAGTTGCCGGCACAGGACCACCGAGACTAAGAAGCTGAGACCCAAGGCAAAACAGAGGAACAGCAACTGAGAGAATCGGGACAGAAAACCCCCGATTCAACACCTAAACTCGAGCTGAGAAGAAGCTGAAACCTAACCTAAAGCACCACAAACTCTGAACGAAGCTACACCTAAACCTAACGATGACACAGCCGCTCCCGCAGCAGGGCCCAGAGAAAACAAACAGATACAGGGGACAATAAAAGAGGGACCTAGCGACGACAGATCCAAGACGAAGAGCTTGAAAGCCACCGCCGGGAAAGGAAGACAGAGAGAAGCACCGCAGAGGACCACAAGAAGGGGAGACGAAGAGAGCAAACCAGAGAGAGGAAACGGGCTAGTCCTCACCACCCAAACCTAACTAGCCACCCAACGCCGCCTCTGAGACAAGAAGAAACCGCCACTGAAACAGAGCAACTCGAGGCAGAGGACTAAAAGCCGGCACACACCAGATACTCTCCGACAAGAGACTCTCCAATATCTCGGCAAGCCGTCCTCGAGCAAGCGTGTAGGCAGGGGAGGAGCTCGAGCCGCTGGACGAGCAAGGAGACAGAAGAACACCGGAGCCTCCAACAACCAAACCCTAGCGAAGGAAAAACCAAGATCCACGGCGAAGACAAAGGGGAAAATGACGAGGCGGCAGCCGGAATAACGAGCAACGAATGGCGGTCCCTCCCACGGTGGCGGTGAGAAGCACCGCCCCCGGAGAGGGAGATCGGCGGAAGAAGGACTGTGACGGAGTTACTAAGGAAGAGGGGAAAAAAATTGTCTTTCAAAGGCCTAAAAAGTTGTAGATTACGAACGAGAATATTCTGTTAATTTTTCCGATTGATTTTCTACCACTTTTTCTACCATTTTTTCTACCATTTTTTCTACCACTTTTAATGTTTTGTTAGAAAGTGGTCAAAAAAAATTGTCTAACTTTTGACAAATATACGCATCAAAATCTATTGACGAATTTGTGACCAAATTCATATAGTTTTATTTTGGGTGAATATTTCCTCCAAATTCTGATGAATAATTGTAGTGATTTTGGTGACAATATTTTTTTAAGAATAGTTTGGTACTTACTTATTATAAAAACTGTTACTAATTATTAGTATTTTGAATTTTGATACAGTTATTTTGTTACTAATTTGTAGCAATATTGCTACAATTTTGATTTGTAAATAATTGCTCTTTAGCTACAAAATCTCACCAAAATGCTACAATTTATATACTTATTTTATTTTCTAATTTGTATCAATCTGTTGCAAATTTTGCTACAAATTTTTATGGTGGCAAAAGTTGTAACTATGTCCAACATTTCTTGTAGTGGCCGCGATGGTTTGCTAGAGAACTCCTCAGGAGTCGGTATCGGTGATAACCTCATATTTTACTATGTTCTAGCTTGTATTTAGTTCATGTTTTGGTCTTTTTCATGCATTCATTCTTCATGTTTTGTCTCTTTTGCATTCATATTAGACATGACAGGTTTTAGAATAGGCATTGCATGTTTTGCACTGTTTGGAGTCTATCTCAGGTGTCTTTGGAGCTAAGGAGACTCATTGGAGGATGGTGCATGGTTTGGACAAGAAGAACCAAGCTGAAAGAGCAGGGAAAGCTCGTCCAGATGCTAAACCGTGGAGGGCTACTCTGTCCTTCCACGGCATGAGCAGCCTCATGGCATACTGAGCACATGTAGTTCGTACAATGATGAACCAGCTCCGGGGGATTCATACCAACAACAGCACGCTGTATGCCGAGGGCTGTGCACGGTATGGAGAACAGGACAGACCGAGGACATGCACCAGGGCAAGCTATTTTTTCCCTGCCCGGTGCATCCTGCCCCAACTAAAGCTGAAAAGAAGTCTGCTCTTTATGCTGGACGATATAGATGTATGGGTCCAAACAAAGGCCTTCCAGTGCGATTCGGCCTCAGCATCCTTAATAGAAATTTAAGGAGATCAATTTAGATTTCTAATGGAGGTGGAATCAATTCATTCCGGTTAGTGATTAGAAAGATACGGCAATTCTAGTAATACTGTCTGCATCCTGGAATGTACACCGAGCAGATGCACCGACCATGGCACTTTCTGTCCTTGCTCGGTATAAACTGTTAGAAGCCAAAGCTTCTTTCTCAAAGAACAAAACAAGTGTTTACTTGTTGCTCTGTTTTAGAAGAAAAGTAACATTAAAAATAGAGTATGAGATAAACTTGTGATTTTTTTGATTGTGAAAATTGTGTTTACAAAAAAGGAGAACATGTGTTTATATACTTTTCCAAACAACATGAACAAGAGTTGTGTCTTTCTACATGTGTCCTAAACTAAGAGTTACAACTCTTTACAAACATCACGATGCTTAAAAGCACCGTTTAATACAACTTAATTTCTAACTTTATAATTCATATGATTATATTCAATTAAATCCAATACTCCTCCTTAATTGAGTTTCTCTTTGACTCCAAGCTTGTCTCGTAATTCTTCAAATCTTGTTGTGTACAATGGCTACATACATCCGAGTGTATCAACTCCAATTCTTTACTTGTCTTTGTTTGAGACTCCTTAGGAAATTTTCTCCTTGATTGCTTTCTCATCTCACAGAAGTCACATATCTCTTTTGTGACTTCAAACTTGGGAAGATTGATATATCATAGTTTTTATAGGTTTTTGACCATGATATAAGTCTTGTTTATATAGTCTTTTGGTATTTTTTTGAGTCTTTTCGAGTCTTTGCAGGTCTAGGTACGTTTGGAGCATAATTGTGGATCTTAGAGCTTTTTGGAGCTATGTTGAAGTTGATGCTGAAAAGACCAAGTCGGAGAGCATTCTGGAGCAGGGTGTCGATCGACACTACTCCTTGGTGTCGATGGACACCGATCATGGTCGCGAAAAAGAGCCTTAAAAACTCTTTTGAAGAATTGCAACTTGGCCCAGAAGTTTCTTATTATATGCAAACTTGCCCCAGTCGTGTTGAGAGTTATATTTAGGTTTCGAAAGCCATTATTAGGCCATTATCTTGTTTTCATTGAGACTAAGAGAGAGATTAGATTCAGAGCTTTTGGGGAGACAAATCCGTACTCCGTTAGAGAAGAATCTTGAACCCCCTTTGTCTTTTACTCTATATTTTAATGCAATATTATTTAGTCATGATTTGTGTTTCAATTTTTATGTCTGAGTAATCTGCTAGTTAGGTTTTGGGTTATTCAAAGATTGATCATGAATTGTTAGAACTGCAACACTGGAAGGATAAATCCATTAGTTCTTCATCTAGATTGCTTTAACACTGATTTTAAAATTAATCACCTAGAAATCAGATCTTAGGTTGTTTAATAGATGTGGAAACATTATTAATCACAAGAACTATCTTAGATGAGCGAAATAACTAATTGCAAAGGAATTTGGATTAGTGATTTTGTGAGCATATCGAACCTGAACCATAATGCTTGCTTAGGTTGTTAGAATTTGCAAAAGAATTTGGAATTCTAAAATCTGATCATAGATAATCTCTGCGACGGAAGTCGATTGGTTTTACATTCGTGTTTTTGAGTTCTAGAACGGTTTTAACAAATCGTCCTTTCAGTCTGTAGTCTGTGATTTATGTCAACCTGCGAATTTCCCATTGTCTAGCGCCTTGTCTCATTGTTTTTAAGAACTTACAATCCACCTCTGCTCTTGTTACTTTTATTTGCTATTTCGTTTCACTAGTTATCAACTGCTTAGCTATATTTGAACCTAAAGTCTGTTGTGTAATATTCTTAAGTCCTTGTGGATTCGACCTCTAAGTACTACCGTGATCTCTTAATTTGACAGAGTAGTTCTAAAGGATAATTTGAGCATATCAAATGTTGGCGCCGTTTCCGGGGACTTAGTTATTACTTTCAGATTTTTAGTTTTAGAATTTTGACTAAGCTTTTACTTTCTGTTTGCTAACTTTCTGTTACTTCTCTGCTGTCTGTTTCAGGTGTATGTATAATCGCAGTACCAGAAGCAACAAAGACAAGGAGCTAGTGACTTTAGGCATCGACGAACTTGCCAAGTTGGAGAGAACCATCAGAAAAGCCAAGAAGCAAACAAAGATGGTTGGACCGATTGTTTTGAGGACATATGCTGAGGGTCATTTAGTTGACAGGGAAGGAAACAGAAGGAATGCGGAAGGGCAGAGGATATATGAGAATGGCGTTGTGATTAAAGAACAAGTTGTGCCACCAGTTGCTCATAATGTGCAACAACAAGCTTCTGGAGAAGCTGCTGGGCGTTTTCAATAGAGGACCCTTGGAGATTACAACAGGCCTGATCAGTTCTATGCAAATAGAGCTGCAATCTGCCATCCTGCCTTCCAGAGAAATGACTTCGAACTCAAGCCTGACTACTACCAGCTTGTGGGTCAACACCCTTTCCATGAGCTTCCACATGAGCATCCTATGGACCACATAGAGAGGTTTGAGGATCTGGCTACTAGTGTTAAAGCCAATGGAGTCAGTATGACTTCTTATTCTCCAAGCTTTTCCCCTACTCTTTGGGAGGAGATGCAGCTCAGTGGCTGAAACAATTAGAGCCTGGCTTTTTGACCACTTGGGAGGACACCAAGAGCGCTTTTCTAAACAAATTCTATGTTGATGCAAGATCAGAAGAGTCGAGGAAGAAAATTGCTTCTTTTTCCCAAGGTCCTACTGAGGCTTTGAAGGCAGCATGGCTAGGGTTCAAGTTATATCAAAGAGACTGCCCACACCATGGTTACAATGAAGTACAACTGTTGGGCATCTTCTTTAGAGGTATTGATTGGAGATACCAGATGGCTTTGGATACTGCAATCAATGGGAATTTCAACACTATAGTCCCAGCTGACGCCATCACATTGATAGAGAATCCGGCTGCCAGCAACAGTACAAAGAATGCTGATTTTGAGAGGCAGAAGATGGCTGGAAATGCTGAGAACAATCAGTTTGCTGCTGAGATGAAGGCTAAGCTGAACTCTGTTCATAACCTTTTGGTGGGTAAGAAGTCTGTTCAGTTTGCTGCTGAAGTTGAGACATTTGAGCCAGCTGAGGAGTTTAAAGAAAAAGATGTCAACTACATTAATGGGGCTTGTTCTCAGGGTCAAAGGTACAATAATCAGCAAGGAAACAAAGGATTCAGTGGGAATAATCAGACGAGCAACTTCACAGGGTAACAGAAGTTTTCTTTTGGTGACACTCCCAAGCCTCAGTTTCAGAAAACTGAATACCAGAAGCCTTACCAGAAAAACAGCTTCAGCAGGAACTATGGTTCCTCTTCTTATTAGTCACCACCTGCACCATCAACTTCAAGTAAGATTGAAGCCATGCTTGAACAGCTGCTAGAGGGTCAGTAAAAGATCATAGTTGACATCAGTGGAAAGACTGATGCTCTCTACGAGGATTTGAATGGCAAATTCGAAGCCCTGAACACCCATGTCAAAACTTTTGATACTCAAGTTGCTCAAACTGCTGGAGCTATGAAAAGACAAGATGGATTTCTTCCAGGAAGAACAAATACCAACCATAGACACTCTGTCAACGCCATCACAGTGAGGAGTGGAAAGAATCTGCAACCAGTGCAGAAGAAGGGTCTTAGTGCAGGAGATTTCGAGAAACTCCAAGAGTTTGAAGAGGATGATTTCGCCAGTTTTGAGGGGTGTCAATCGGCACCCATCACTCAGTGTCGATCGACACCAGAGGATTTTCCAGACTCTTCGAGTCGAGGCAAAGAGATATCGATCAATGTCGACAAGCAGCGAGTTGGACCGTCGACACCAGATGCAGAGATGAGTTTCGATCGACACCCACCGTTTGGTGTCGATCGACATTCCCCACAGAAGCAACCTGCGATTGTTCTGACTTTAGAAAACGCAGAAGGAAGAGTTTA